GCGTTTATCAGGGGCAACTTGGAGGTTTACTGATAGGGATAATGGAATGCCTAAAGCCTTCCCTCAAACAACCCATTTGTTCCTCCACCTGGGGAACAGGCAGCAGTTGTCAACCTCTCCCAGCTCTGAGGTTCTGTGATTCCAGCACAGTGGCACAGTACAGACCCCCAGCTGGACCCAGGGACCCCAATTCTGTCATGTCAGCATGGCTCATCCACACCTGCCTTCTGTTTCATCTTAGATGTCATGGATGGGGTGGTTCCATCCTCTCCCTTCCAAGGAAAGTCCATGTCACAGTGAGCAGTCTGAGCCTTCTCCCTTTGCTTTCTTGGTAGCACAGTCTGGTGAGCACCACTCCTAGTTGCCCTCAGCTACTCTCCAAGAAGACGTCACAACGAGAGATCCAAATCAGCCCATTTTGTCCCCTGTGGCACTGTGTGCTTTGGCTGCCTGGGCAGAAAGCTGGGTCTATATTTACCTATCATTTCGATCCTATCTTGGGGTGTAACTGGAATTGAGTTCTTGGTGTGGAAATTCTTCCTCAGAACACAAAGGATTGAAGAGAACCAGAGGCTGAACTCTGGAAGGACTCTTCCCTGAGGCCTCTTGGCAGGGTGACACTTGTTTCTTGGAGAGGTGATATGGTCAACTCGTGGGTGTTTCCTTTGGGAGAGAGTTCTAGCTTTTTCAGTAGCTATGGGCCACTATAACCCTGTGGTTCCTGCCTTCTCTGCTTTGTTTGATGACTCCATGGGTGAATTGCTCCATGGTTTAATCCTGAAGTCAGAGAAGTCAAATTTGGTAGCTCTCCTTGTCTCCATGAGAGCGTTAGTCTGCATCTCACAGTGAGATGTCCTTCAAATGACTTCCAGCCCTTCTGAGTCATGACACTCAAGCTCAGCTTGTAGAATGAACAGTAGGAGGGAGAGGTAAATTAGTGTGCAAAGTCTATTCATTTTTTTTCCCATGCCAATAATATCTGCTGAAAAATGTTTTCAAAGGCCCATTTATCTCAATGACATAGGAGATTTATTTCTTTCCTGAATTTTTCCCTGAATAGCTAATGTAATGATTTTTAAAATTAGATCTTTTTTCTTTCTTAATTGTATTTGTAGGTTGAGGATAATTCTAATACAACAGCAAACAACATGTGTCCTTCTACTAGACGTGCATATTTACTGCATTTCATGAATGTATGAAAGGGTATACAATAATTTCTGTTAAATCCACATTAGATCATTCTCCTTCCTCAGCTGAGATATGGGTTCTGATAGTGCTCAGTGGGAAAAAAATCCAGTTGCATTTTTTTTTTAGCCCTTGACTGTTTTAATATAGTATGTACTTTAGGGCACAGATTGAATTTGGCAGAATAACATCATGTACCCTAAATATCCATCAACCATCTTAGGAAGATTCTGCTTCTTCTGATCCCAGCCTCTCCCCCACTGCAGATTATTTTGAAGTATATTTGAGACCATGTCTTTTTCTGTTTGTACAATATATCTCTAAGAGATAAGCATTCATTTAATAGAAATCTACTTTTTGAACAAACTAAAATTAGAGGCATTTCCAGAACAGTCTTAGAAAAAGATGAAGCTTTACTTGTTAATTAAAAAGTCAGGCAACTAGCTCATGTTTATTGTTTCTAACATGGATCATCCTGTTATACACAGTGAAAGAATCATCCTGCTATACACAGGCTGGTGAGCTCAGTTTATTAGATGACCTTATAGAAGGACCCTATAGAAAGATAAGTCGTAATTTTTAGTCACTTGCCATAGTCAAGACCTTAATTCTGCAGAGCACAAAATCACGAATCAGAACCATACACATGGGATGTATCTTCTCAGAGAATGCTTTGGCCTAGGTTATATGATTTTTCACTTGTCTAACTATGGGACCAGTCATGTCAGGTTTGTTAAGACAAGTGATCTCCTACCATTTTTGACCACACACTTCTTTCAGTAGATAGTTAAGCATGTATCTGTGGCTTATTAACTTCTACATTATATATGTTTTCTATTATATGAATATTATAAAATATGTATAAAATAGACACTGAAGAGGATGAAATGAGAAGTTATAATATTAACAGTTCAAATATCTTCTTATTGTATTCTCTGGATCCTCTGGCATCTGCTCCAATCTGAAGACTCTTGGGGAAGGCTGGAGGCATTACATCATGGTGAGGTGTGTGGGTCATAAAGCCAGGCAGCCTAGGGAGGTTCAAATCACAGTTCCACAATTCCCCAGCCATGATGGAAACATCACTTAACTTCTCAAAATCTGTCCTCTCATTTGTAATATGAAGACATTACTACCTTACAGGGTATTGTTAGGTCCAATCCTTATATAGTGCTTAGTCCATGGTAAGCATTTAATATGTTTGAGTTCATGATAATGATGAAGATTATAACATAATTTCTGGGGGCCTAGGGGCAGCATAGGTTTTCTATCTCCTTTTCACAGCACAGTGCAAACATTAGTACTTATTCAGGCATTGGTGGTGCTTCTTGTAGTTCTGATAGTGTGGCTGTGACCATAGTTACAGGAATGGTCATGTTGGCTGTGATGAACAGCATGTCATCACTTAGTTTATTTGAACTGATGTTGATGGTGATAGTACAATGACTGCTACGGGGATGGTCACATGGTGGGTGATGACTATGGGGAGAAGTGGAAACCTTTTATAATCCCTACCTGAAAGACATCATCAATACTTGCACCTGCCTTTCTTAAGAACCCTTCCTGGGCCACCTGAAAAATATGCCGACTAACTTGTTCCATCTGTCTCCCTTCATGACTTCTCTGTCTTGTTGATCTGCTTTGCCACTTTGTGCTCCAGGGTCTCTGACTCTCTGGAAAGCCTAGTGCTGTGCCTGCCTGTACCCTAGATCCAGAAGGTACACTAAGAGCTCTGTTCACTGCAGGACCAGTTGTCCACCAGTAGCATTTGATGTTCACATGAAAGAACTTGCCTCTGAAGACCATGGGCAGGCCCTAGACACTTACAGTGTGGCTTTATTCATCATATGGTCCATGTCTTTGTTGTCATGAGAAAGGGCAAATGATGCAGGGAGCAAAGTCAAATGCTTGGGCAATCCTGGAGCTAAAGCCCAAACTGGGTTAGCAGGGGCACCTGCAACTGGCACATCCAGGAATTTTGCCATGCAGGATCCTGGGAAGGACTAACTTCCCAACTGCCCTGGGGTTCCCGAGAAAGCTACAGAGAAGAGACTTTCTCTTTTCCAAAATCAAAGCAAAGGAAGGTTAGCTTGTGCCTAGTAGGGTCCATTGAAATATGAAGCCATGTTAAGCTCTTTTTCTGGGATTTTTCATATTTTCACTCACCTTGTTAGCTGGACTTTTCGGAAGTGTGCACGCTCTTCAGGAGTGGTTTGGATTTTTATATTTTTAATAAACTCACGAGTTGGAGATAGGAATTTTGCCATGACTTCTCCACACTCTTCCATTCTCAGCACTGCTTTGAGAATTAATCTTTTTAGCAATTCTGACATTTTTCAAATTGGAGTGTTACTCATGTCTCAAAGTTACTTGGCTCCAAATCTAGGCTATGAAGTATGAGATTTTGTAGAATGAGATTATATGTTCTTAAAATACTCTCTATCCATGAATTATTCTTTAACACAAAACTATTATTCTATGGTGTTTGAAATACTTTATAAGATCTATGCTTAATTATAAATATTCTTGAGATTCAAACACACTTATCTAATAGGTAAACAGTCATTCTATCCAAAACTACAGTAGCACCTCGGTTCATAAATGCTTCTTTTTATGAACAATTCAGTTCACAAACAGAAGCGCTTGGCAAAATTTTGCTTCCATTTGCAAACTGCACTGGGTGAAGATCAAGACCTCATCATTGTCCCTGCTCTGCAGTCATCGCTTCCTCTAGTCAAGAACATGGTCACAAACAGACCTGTGCACACTCACTGTGAAGCTTTTTTTGTGTGCTTTTTAGCACATACAGTACTGTACAATAGTATTCAATCCAGTGTGGCTCCGAAGAAAGTGCAGAGCAAGCTAGGTGGTTAAAAAGAAAGTGCAGAGTGGTAATGAAGATGTCAAGAATGTGCAGGGCAATGATGAAGGTAACAAGAAAGTGCAGAGCAAGAATGGTAAGAAGGTTTTGAAGAAAATAACCATGGAATTGAAAAAGGAAATTGTAGAAAAGCATGACATGGTATTCATGTGACTGATCTGGCCTCATAGTACAAGATGACAAAGTCGACAATCTTGACTGATTTGCAAAATATAGATGACATCAAAGGAGCTGATGTGGCAAAAGGAATAACAATGTTAAGCAAGCAGAGGATGCAGTGCTGAAAGAGGTGGAAAATCTTTTATTAGTGTGGCTAAATTAGGAACAGTTGGCAGGTGATAGCATTAATGAAGCTAAAATGTGTGAAAAAACGAGGAAATTGCACGGTGATTTACCGCAAGAAAACCCCTCTATAAGTGCAACAAGTGATGAATTTAAAGCCAGTAGAGGGTAGTTTGATAAATTCTGTAAGACAAGTGGCATTCACAGTGTGATAAGACATGGTGAGGCTTCCAATTCTGACAAAGCTGCTATAGAAGCCTACAAGAAAGAATTAGCAGAATTCATGAAGGCAGAAGGATATGTTGCTCAGCAAGTGTTCAACCGTGATGAAACAGGGCTTTCTGGAAGAAAATGTGAAACAGAACCTATATCACAAAGGAAGAAGGGGTACTGCCAGGATACAAGCTCACAAAGGACAGATTGACCCTTTTGTTGTGTGCTAACTCAAGCACCAATCTGAAGATTAAGCCACTACTCATGTACCATTCCCAGACCCCTCATGCATTCATGGAATAGAATGTGCAAGGGCACATTGCCTGTCATGTGGAGGGCCAGTGCAAAAGCTTGGGTCACAAGATAATCATTCATGGAATGGCTGCATGAGTTGTTTGCACTCCCTGTTAAGAAATGTCTTTCTTTTTTTTGGTACCAGGGATCGAACTCAGGTCCTTGCATTTGCACAGCAGGCAGCGGAACCACTGAGCTAAATCCCCGGCCCAAGAAATGTCTTTCTGACAACGAACTGCCTGAAAAGTGCCTTCTTCTGATGGACAGTGCCTCAGCATGGCCTCCAGCCTTGGTGGATGACATGGATGCTGAGTGTGACTTCACAAAGGTCAAATTCCTCCTCCCCAATATGACACCTCTTCTCCAACCTTTAGACCAGCAAGTGATCTACAACTTCAAGCAGCTGTACACAAAGGTGCTCTTCACCAGGTGTTTTATTGTCACTGAAGAGACGTCCTTGACTCTGAAAGAGTTCTGGAAGAAACACTTCAATGTCCTTCACTGCATCAACCTCATTGACAAAGCCTGGGAAGAGGTCATGTATTGGACCTTAAACAGACTGGAGGAAGCTGTGGCCAGAATGTGTCACTGAATGTGACTTTGAAGGGTCTCATGACAGGTAGTGGAGAAGATTGTGTCCATGGACAAGAGTATGGGTCTGGACATCGATGGTACAGACATGGAGGAGCTTGTTGGGGATCATAAGGAGGAGCTGATGACAGAAGAACTTGCTGAACTCCAGAGTGACAGCAGAAGGTGCTTGTTGAGGAGCATTCCACTTAAGAATAGGAAGACAGGGAGGAGGTTAGCAGTGATGTGATAAAATCCATTATGGAAAAATGGAATGAGTGCCAGGATTTCTTTTAGAAGCACCACCCCAACATAACTGTAATGAATGGAATGTTGAATCTGGTGAACAATAATGTGGTCTCTCATTTCCAGAGGGTTATGCAGTATAGGAGTAAACCAAGTGACGTTAGATAGATTTTTAAATCAAAATTTCCCTTACAGCTGAGATGAAGAAAAGAGGAAACCCCTCAAGGAGGTCCCCTGATGTCCTTATGGAGGGGTCCCTCCCTCCACAACCAACCACCTCCTTCCCACTCACCTTCCTGGCTTCCACACCACAAGTTGCCTCAAGCAAGGTTAGTGTTCTCTTCTCTTTCTTCATACTGTACTGTACTTTGTTTCATATTTTTGTGGCTAGAAAATACATATCACTCATAATGGATAAACCTTATTTACATTGAACCTTATGGGGAAATTTGATTTGGTTCATGACCAATTTGGTTTGTGACCGGAATCATGCAATGAATTATGTTCATGAACTGATGTGCCACTGTATCTGAAACTGTCTTTCCAAATTACCTTTTGGGAGTTTCTTTAATTTATTGGAGACCCCAGGCCTGGAAGGAGCAAAAGGTTTTTATTTGTGACACAGATAAGATAGCCCAGATCTGGTGGTAACTCTAATGAGCACTGGGCATGAGTTTGTTTTCTATACAAAGGCAAAAATAAAAGTCATATTGGTGCCTGGTTGGCAAGAAGGAGCTTACACTAACACTTGGCAACACTGTTTTGGCTAAACACATCTATCAGGTTGACCTCTGACATCTATTATCTCCCCTTCCCAGCTCTAATCTCTCATGACAGGAAATGAATAAAGAAATAGAAAAATGTCCATTGACTGATGAATGGCTAATCAAAATATGGTATTTATATATAATGAATTATTATTCAGCTATGCTAAAAAATCAAGTGATGATGAATACTACAACATGGATCTTCAAAAGCATCATAATAAGTGAAAGTCTAGACACAAATTGTCTGATTGGATGATTTTACTTATTGGAAACTACAAAATAAGCAAATCCATAGAAAGCAGAATGCAGATTGCTTCCCTGCAGGAGCTGGGCGGGGGGGATGTGGGATGGGAGTGACTACTTAATGGCTACAGGGTTTCCTTTTGGGGTGGTGAAAATACTTTGAAACTAGATAGAGATGATGGGTGTATGACACTGTGGATGAACTAATCATCACAGAATTGAACACTTTCACATGGTTAAAATGCTGAATTTTGTCATGTGAATCTTACTTTGATTAAAAAAGTAGAAACAGACAAAGACTAAGGGAAAGAGGAGAAGCAGAAACATCGTTTGAGAAGAAATTTCAACAAAGTTTGCAACATGGAAAATATCTGGAGAAGCAGCACTCGACTTACCAGAGTGGAGGAAGCAGTAATTTCCATGATTGGGGGGAATGAGGGAACCAATGAGAAACAAGCCACTTTCCCAGGAAGAACCATGGAAAGGCTGAGGTGTGGAGGCAGCAGGTGCTTCTACAGATAGCAGTAGATGGGGATTGACATTCAGAATGTGGGGAACTTGGATGCTAAGAGCCTTTTTTCCTGTCCGAAAGTAGCCAAGGGACTTTGTTGTCTACTGAGTGAAAGAGCCACAGAGACAGCAGGGTACAGGTGTCAACCATCTAGAAAATGAAAATGGATAAGTCTGCAGGTGAGACTCCAGCTCTCTTCCTGGAGTGCCAGCAGCCGAGCATACACCAGTCCCCAAATCCTCCTTCACACAGAAGACTGGAAGGCCCCTTTCTGAAGAGGCCCACATATCCATGAGAAAACAGCCTGACTTTGGGGAGCTCCAGAGTGAAAATGCAGCTTATCACCTGACTGGCTTCCAGGGATGGGCATTAATCAGGCCCTCACCATGAGCCCACAGCTTCTAACCATTTGATTGGTACCTCAGTCTTAATTATAAAAGATAAGATCGCTTTTGATGAGACTTCCAACATGAAAGAGTAAATCAAGAAAACTTGATAGTGTAAAAAGCAGTTAATTGACAGGGAAATGAAAGTTAAATTAAAACAGAGAAATGTTCAACTAATTACAATCCTTCAGAGAGATAGATTAAGATATTGCGTCCCTAAAATGAGAACAAGTTGCCATTGAAACAGATTCATTAGTGAAGAGGAAGGAGCACCTGGAAGTGAAAAACATGAAAGGTAAAGTAAAAATTAAAGAAGGAAACAGAAGATTAGAAAACTATATTGCAACAATAAAACATCAGGTTTGAAAATGACAGAGAAATCAACCAATAACAAATGCTGGCAGCACTGTGGGGGAAAGGAACCCTTCTCCACTGTTGGTGGGAGTGTAGACTGGTGCAGCCACTGTGGAAATCAGTACAGAGATACCGCAAAGAAATAGGATTCGAGGTCCCATTTGACCCAGCTATTCCCCTGCTGGGTATCTTCCCAAAAGAATTAAAAGAATCATACCACAATGATATATGTGCACCCATGTCTATAGCGGCACAGATTGTAATAGCTAAAGCTTGGAAACAGCCCAATTGCCCATCAACTGGAGACTGGATAAAGAAAACTCGTTTTTTTAAAAAAACAAAATGGAGTACTACTCAGCCATAAAGAATGAGAAACTAGAGGCATTTATAGCTAAGTGGGTGCACATTGAGGCCATACTCTTAAGTGAAATAAACAGGACACACATGTGTAAATACCAAATAGTTTCTCTGGTGTGAGAAACTGAAAGTGTTAATAAGGATCAAAAAGCATAATAGATAATGTGAAATAGGAAGAAAAGGTGCAAAGGGGAAGGGGAAGTGGGAAGGGTAGGGGAAAGTAAACAAGGGAATGGAATTAATATGAGAAAATGAAAAAATGGAAACAAAGTATTTGTAAATAGGGAAGGGTGGAGGGGGTGAAGGGAGGGCAGGGAGATTGGGAAAAATTAAGAACCAAGAGAGATTATGTAAAGATGCAAATTTCCAAGGTGAATGTCATTATATTGTATACCTAAAATGTACCAATAAAATTAATTTTTAAAAAAGAGGTGGTGGGGCATAGTGAGAGGTCACAAAAAAAAAGAAAGAAAATGACAGAGAATCAACCTATGAGGCTGTGTGTGGTCAGAAGTTTCAGAAGAACAGAGGGAAAGGGGAAATATAAGAAAAATTTCTGGAATAAAAGGCCATGAATCTCTAGGTTGAAAGATTCATCTTTTACTCAGCAGAATGGATTAAAAACACACACACACACACACACACACACACACACACACGCACGCACACACACAGTATTTCTTTGAACAAGAAAGTCTTAAAAGCTCCTAAAGGGAAAATGGGCCACACATAGGGGATATTGAATTCAGAATGACTTTTGACTTCTGTATAGCAATACTGGATACTAATGGAAAACAAAAACAACAGCACCCCAGAATTCCTAAGAGAAAATGATTTTCTAACTGGAATTTTATATCCAGCTTCATCAAAAACCTAATGTGAAGGATGCATGAAAATATCATCAGGCACATAAGACACATAAGGGCTCTAAAGTTTCATTCCCTCTTTCTCTCAACCTCAGGAATAATTATTGGAAGATCCACTTCACCAGAAAAAGGTCATAAATCTAGAAAGTGGAAGCAAGGAGGCTTGAGATTCAAGGCCACTGTATAATACAGGGACACAACCAGAGAGGTCTCAGAGAGAATGTGTCCCAGGAGATAAGAGACAGACAACTCCACAGAGGACAGCATCAGGGGAAAAGACAAAGAGAATATCTCATTGGCTTAAATATTTGGGTAGTAATATTAAAAATATGTGTAAAATACATATTGTAAGAATAGTAAAAAGCACAGAGAAAAACATATATATGAAAAATAAACAGGCAATGGCTAACTCCTGTCAAAATAAAAAGCAGCATTCAAGAAAGACAATCATAATGTACAACTTGACCAATGAATGAAAAATAAAGATGTACAAAGTTACTAAAATCCAAACACTGACTATTGATTTGACCCAATGTTGTGACATTGAAGGAAGGAGTGAGGCAGTGGGGTGGTAAGAGAGCTAAATCTTCATTTACCATAATATCTAAAATTGACATGTCAATCAATAGCAGCATGGGCCCATTTAAAAGTAGATGCAAATATCAAAAGAAAAATTAAAATAGATGAAAGTGCTTTACCTCTACAAATGGTTTTGGGATGTGATAGCAGGGGAATGTTGACCTGCTGGGGTTTTTTGGAGGGGGGGTAAGGAGGGATGCTTTTGATATGTCTTCCCATATCATTAACTATGTTTTCAACAATGTTGAAATTAAAAATAAGTATTAGTTAAAATATTCGCCAAGGTCAACTGTGTCAATAGCATGCCGGCCGCAACTGATTGATAGGGATGACTTCCTTCTGTTCATACCTCAAATTTCTGGCATTTATTGGGCACTTAAGATGTGCCACTCTGCATTATCTCAGCTAATCCCCACAATAGCTCTGTGATCAAGGCTCTTTTACTCTTCTCATTTTACAGACGATAAATTCAGAGAAAGGTGTGACTTGCCCAGGATCCTGTTGCCCACAACCTGTAGGTATGGAACCAGAAGTCAAACAAGCTCATGTTCTTGTTTTAGACCCCAAGCTTGTGTGCTCAATTGTGTAGTTTTATTACTTTCCCTCTGTACCTTCATTAAGTATTTTCAGTGCCTAATTGTCCATGCTCTGTGCAGGGTGCTATAAAGGAGGATTATACAGGTACAGTGTGCACTATGACTCTTGTTGACAGCAGCATATCAAAAATAAAGGCTAATAAGCACATGAAATGATGCTCAATGTCGCTAATCATTAGGGAAATGCAAGTCAAAACTATACTGTGATATCACTTCAAACCCATTAGCATGACAACTATTAAAACACCAGAGAATATCTAGTGTTGGTGAGGATGTGTAGTTATAACTGTTAGTAGGAATGGACAATGGGGTGGGCACTATGGAAAACAATATGGTGGTTCTTCAAAATATTAAAACAGAAAGCAGGATCTTGAAAAGATATTGGTACACCCATATTCACTGCAACCTTATTCATGAAAGCTAAAACAGAAGCAAACCACATGTCCATAGAAGAATGAATAAATAAGCAAAATGTGGGATATACATACAATGGGATGTTGGCCCTAAAAGGGAAGGAAATTTTGACACATGCTACAATATAGATGAAGCTTGAAGACATTCTGTGTGAAAAAAGAACAATGCCAAAATACAAATACTCTTAAGATTCCATTTTTGTGAGGTACTTAGTCAAAATTCACAGAGACAGAATGTACAATAATGATTGCTAGGGGCTGAGAGGAGGGAGATTGGGAAGTTATTGTTTATGGGCTCAGAGTTTCAGTTTTATAAGATGAAAAGAATTCTGAGGATGAATGGTGGTAGTGTCAAATGACATTATCAATTTATTGAACAGTACCGAACAGCACACTTAAAATGGTTAAGATGGGAAATTGTGTGTTTTTGGTATATTACAACAATTTTGAAAGATTGGAGAACGTGAAGGGCGTGTACACATGTGTATCACCCACTGACTCCGAGCTGGCGTGCTGTAAGAGTGTAGTGCTGATAGCTCCTGGCCCCTGTGATTATGGGTGCAAAAGCAATTTGGGATAGAGGGTGTGGCGGTGGGCAGGGAGACAAGAAAGAGAAAGGTGTTCTTCTGGACCAAACATAGCTCTGCCATGCTCAGGTAGATGGTTAAACACCAGTGCCCAATCTATCACCAAGAAAGCATCCTTTCCTCTCCACATTCTCTCCATTCCACATTCTCTCCAGGCCGCACTTGCAAAGTTTCTTCTGTGTACAGCTGATATTCCTTTTTTCTTTTTTGGTACCTGGGATCGAACTTGGATCCTTGCGCTTGAGAGGCAGGCGGCAGAACCGTTGAGCTAAATCCCCAGCCCTGATGGTCCTTTTTAATAATTTTATTTTTGATGCTTCTTTTTAGGAATTTTATTTTATTTTTCTGCTACATAAGAATGAAGTTGAGCATTTTTTTTTAAAAAAATTGAGAATTACAGAAAAATCATAAATGGCTCAAACATTGTCACACTTCCTCTTTGGTATTAAAATTTTTTTCTTTAAATAACAGTTTAAACATTCAACCGGCATTGTTGGTCTGTAATAAACAACAGTGGTATAAACTCATCTTCCCAGCTCTCAGCTCCAATTTTGTTCAGCTGTTATTTCTGTCTTTTTCTCTATATTTTTCAATAGCCGCCCAAATTGCTATCCTGGCTTGTTGTATTAGTTTCTTTTTATTTATTGTGTTTATTGCCATAAAAAAGTAAGGATCAGTTCTCTTATGGAGCCTTCTTCACACGGGACCTGCCCTTACCACCAAGAGCTACAATCCGCACCTCTCACCCTCCAGGCGGCGATATTACCATAGTGGTTAAGACTGAGGCCAATATCTATAACCATATAAATATTGTTCATGTAATGTAGTAGGATTGTATTTTCTTTCTTGTACTATTTCTTATCCTCCTCCACCTCCTGTCCTGGCCCTGAAGCTCTCTGTACAGTTCACTCACAATAAACACACTTTGCTCTGTGTGGTTTTCTAAACACCCATCACCAATCTTTCTCCCAGCTCTTTCTCCAACTCCATTCTCAGTAAGATAGTCCATCAGCTTTTCCCCACTGACATCTCTCCCTGAGCCCTCCAACCTGCCCTGGTGGCCATTCTGATTGAGTGCTTAATTGTCTTCCTGGGTCTCCTAGTCTTTATCACCCTGGGAATTCCAGTCTCCCATTTCCTGGGTTGGATCAATTATGACTGGACCCCATGTCTTTCTCTTTGTTTATTGCTTTGCTTTGATTGCTCACACTACCTATAATCTTGCTAAGAAAGCGCGAAAGAGAGACACATTTTGTTTTTGTGTCCTGGGTTGCATCTGGAAGTCACTAGCCTGGTGACTTCCTCATGGTGTCTTTATCTGCACACCAGGATCCGGCTGGACTTCCCAGGCATAGACAGCTCTATTCTGTCTGTTTCCTCGGCTCAGGATGAACTCATACCCCAGAACAACACTTCTCTGGGTCCTGGTCTGGCGTGAGACACCTTCTGTGCCCAGCAAGTGCCAATCAACACCTGTGTTAATAATACCTTGGCCTCAACACTCAAGATTTAAGTTGCATTAATCACCTAATAAATAAAACCTTCACAAGTGCTAATTACTAACTAGTCCTCATGTTAGATCCATTTAAAAAGGTGGCATCTTAGAAGCTATAGTGCTTATAGTCATTAAACAAACATTTATTGTCTACTGTATACAAGACGACACACAAGGGCTTTCAGGTAGTTCAACTGATTTAATCCTCACAACAATCCTATGAAGTGGGCATTATTGCCATTTGTAAAGGAGGAAACAGTTCCAGAGAGATAAAGTTTTTGGGGCAGTCATTCAGTACACTGATGGTGCACTTACTAGTTGTTAGATGGCAATATGGCAGGAGCAGATACATACATCCTTGGCCTCTTATAGCTTCCAGTCTAGCTAAGGGTGAGAGCCATCAAACAAATAGTTTCACAAGTAATTTATCAAATGGATTTGAGACAAGTCATGAAAAGGAAGTAGAAGATGTTATGGGAATGGATAAAGGATGTCTGAGTCTGGGAGTCAGAGATAGTTTTGAAAAAAGTAGTCCTTAAGTCTATAGATGAAGAAGACTCCACTAGATGGACTAGGTGGAAGGGAGAGAGGGAAGGAAGAGCATAAGCAGAGACTCAGAGGCAGGTCAGGGCTTTGCGGAGGGAGGCATAGGAAGATCACTGTGGCCTGAAAAGGGTAGAAATGTGGCTTTGCAGAGAGCAGTTGTAAGGGTTCCTGTGCTCTGTTAAAGAACCCCTGTGGGCCAGGGATTTAGCTCAGTGGTTCCGCCGCTTGCCTCACAAGCGCAAGGTGCAAGGACCCGAGTTCAATCCCTGGTACAAAAAAAAAAAGAACCCACATGTTTAAAACTTGGCTGGAAGATTTTACACAATGAGAGAACATGATGAGATTTATTTTGTAAGAGCTCATTGTCATTCCGGGTCTACTCTGGAGGGGATGTGAATGGGCCTGCTGAAGAGGGGTCAGAGGAGATGTGGGAGAGGAGGGATTGAGGAGACGTGCGGCAAGATGCTTGTTCAGGGTCTCACGGACCAGCTCCTGCGATGACAAGGCCACAGCTCTTTCGGTTGGTGAAATCTGCTTCTTTCTCCAAGCCAGGAGGAGTGGGCCACTAGCACAGAGTTCTCTCTCCATGCAGTGCTGGGGACACTGAGTCACAGCCAGACAGCTCTGTGTCTTTCCTGTGAGTGTCAGAGCCCTTACATTATGCTGTACAACTCCTCAGTCACTAGGGATTTGGGAACCAAACATAGTCACTGCCTTTAGTAGCTCCTGGCCTATTAAAGGCGATGGGATGTAAACGGGGTCCCAACCCCAAATTAAAGGTGAGGAAGTTATAGAAGTCGCAGGATCGTACACAAGTCATTTTTGGATGTTTAACTACACTAAAAGCAGCAATATCTTGAATGGTCTTTAAGCTGGGTTGTGTATTTCTAGGCAGACCATTTAAGTTTTAGACCTATCCTGATTCTCTGTCCTGGCCAGGAATCGTATTCCTTCAGAACATTTGTAACACGTATGAAATTGTCTTTACTTTTTACAGTTCAAATATTCTGCTAAGTAATTGGCCTTTATGGATTTAGTGTTCAAATGTTTTAAAATTTTCTCATGAATGAACTTCATGGTCATGGGATCAGAACATAGCCATACAGCTCAAAGTTCCTACAACATTCATAGTTTCCGGTATAATATCTTTGTCAGGACACAGACTCAAGATTGGTTTGAACACAGGATTTTCCTTGTAGGAACAGTGAATAGGGACTTGAGGATATGTGTCTCCCCGGAAACTTTGGGGTTCAATGTGCAAAAAGAGTGCAGACCCCTGTGGATCTCATGACTTCTCGACTAAAGAGTCCCTTGTGTGTTCCTTGGGGACCTTCCCCAAGGGGCCATATGCGTACGGCAGGGGGTGGAAGATGGGAGAAAAAATAAAAGTTGCTTAAGGTAGATGATTTGTTCTTGACAGTTGTAAAAACCCATACTCCCTGGCCCAGGCCTTAACAATGTGGTTTGCAGTACATAAAAAAGTGATGTGTTACAAAGTTTTGATTGATAGACAGAATGTGTAAACACAATTTACAAAAAACCCTAAAATATATAATTCTCTTTATTGTAAGTTCTCCATAGCCAATTGATCCCCAACAGAACACTTCTGTTGATGTTTGTTCTGGGATCTTGTATCCAGAGTGTAGCCAGGTATTTTAATTGATGAACAAGTATAGTTCCTCCAAGAATGAGGGTTGGTATTTTCCTTTATGTTAACAAGCAGGAAGCAAGTGCAACAACAGAGTTACACATTGGCCTTCAATCGTTTGTCGATGTGTGCAGATTTGCTGAAGTGGCAGATAATTTTCAAATGCTAGAAGAAGATTTCCTCATCTCTTTGTGTGCTATTTAGCATGCATACATTGGCTATAGACACATTTTGGAATTTAATCTGCATTGTTAACATTTCTCCATTTTTTTTCAAGTTCTAGACCAGAGGTCAGTAAAATGTGGTCTAGGGGCTAGATCGGTTCCTCCAAATGTTTTAGGAAATAAAGCTTATTAGAGTAAAACCATATCCATTTATTGCATGTATTGTTAAGACTGCTTTGTTGTTAATATTGCAGAATTGATG